AATTTTTACATACTAATTATAATAATTTTTTTTTTTGCGTGATAATACAGTAGAGTTGTGCAAAATGATTTCTGACCAGATTTATTACATTCTTTACTTATTTGCTTTTCACATGGAGTGAATATTGCTTTAAAATCACAGCAATCATTAATTTCCAAATTTTGGAAATTTAAAAAGTTTCCAAAGCAAACTTGCCATTTTGAAGGTTTATCACAGTAATATTTTTTCATTATAAAATATATATTTTAGGATTTGAATAACATTATCCGGCCAAATAATTTTTAAATATCTGGGTATTTGATATCCGGTCGGATAATTAAAAAATGTTGTCCGGGATACCACTAAAAATAAGTACCAGCAATTTCATTCTTGAAACAAAATGTCAGAGTACATAATTCATATACATATTTTTATAATTCATAAGTTACATTCTTGTTATACCAAATCCTATTTCTTAAAGACGATTTTTTGAAATACTCTTTACTTGAACTCAGATTCTACTGTTTCGAGAATAATGCATTTTTGACCTAGTTTACGTTTTAGTGATCTATCCTTTCTCGTTAACCAGTCTCTGAGAGTTTTTTAAGTAATGTTATAATCTCGCGATGCTGCCGCTACTGGATTTCCAGTTCTAACAGAAAATAGTGCTTTTTCAAATCCTCTGTTTTTCCTTTTTCAAATCCTCTGTTTTTCATTTTTCAAATCCTCTGTTTTTCATTTTGCCCTAATAGTTATTATTTAAGGTCTAGTCATTCTAAAAAGAACAAAAATAATATTTGACAAATTTTCTAACAAAATATTTTAAATTAATCGAAAAATCAACATTATTCAAAATAAACGTGTTGCGTTATTAGCCCATTTCAGTCGCAATATTGGCCAGATATCGATGTTTTATGTAAAACGGGTTTGTTTTTTGTTTACATTGTGAACATTGCTTACTTTCAAAAATGAAATAACATATTGGGCACACGAATAAACAAAAATAACAATAAAACATTGATTGTTTCGAACAAGTATAAATAGAAACGATATTTTTCTGATCAACGATAAAAAAAAAAAAGGTCTAAAATCACTCTCTACACCGCACAGTGGGCCAAAATTATTATTAGCTGGACAAAATTAATAACTTTTAAAATATTTATCAGGTTTTTCCCATAATTAGCAGCTTGAGTATATTTCATATAACAAATCTAATGGCACCATTAGATTGTTTATTTGGTTGCCATGGATACCTATATTTCATGTCAACAGGCATTTTGCATAGTTACCTAAATAAAAAGACTTTCTCAAAATATCAAAGTTATAAACTAAACTGATATTAATGCTACATTGCTATTTTATGTATTTGAATGATAACACAAACAAAAAATTATCAATTTTTGGTGTTACTATGCTGTTATGTGCTCTTAGAAACCAGTTGGTAATTTTTTTTGAAACTTTTTCTTAATTCAAAATTTCTTTAAAAAATGAAATAAAAACTTTTAAAACACTCTTAACTATAAAGGTTTACAGGAACAGTTAATTAAATTTTAACTGTGTACTTTAGATACCCTTAGCAACCATATAAAAATAAGCAAGTTTTTATGCAATTAGAGATACAAAAAATTTTATAACGAATATATAAGAAAACAAACTTTTATATTCATTATTTTATTATGTAAATATTAAATACTTATAAAGTAAACACCATCTTAAACACCAACGAAAATCAAAACTATGTCATTGACACTTAGTCAAAAATTGGAACCTCTTTAAGAAGATCAAAAACTCCATTTGGAAGAGCGTTTTTCTTAGGATGATGGGGTTTTCTCAAACTACTTATCAAAGGGTCAGAAGAACACATTAGTCGCCTTAATAAATCTTCGTTTGTTTTGGAACGCGAACACTTTCTAGAAAATGATTCTCGAAATTTCTTAAAATTTTTATTTTGAGCTTCTTGTGCCTCTTCGCTGAGCATGCCAATAGGCAAAGCCATTCTCTCTACAACTTGCCAACCATGAATAAGAATGTGATGCAGACTCTGTGGCATATGATACCATGGATAAAGGATTACATACTTCTCAGCTGTTTTGTAGCAGTATTCTCTAAATAGTGAAGAATCAATTAGAAAGTTAGATGACAATGTACACAAAATCACATGCAACATCATTATCATACTGACATCAAGTTCAAGAATTTGAGCAGACTTCTCTGCATTCTGAAAAAATTTTCTAGCAGTGTTTCCATTATTTGAAGACCCAGAGCCACCAGATGTTGGCATATCAATTATCAGTCCAACTTCATCACGAAACCTTATCTGGATTTTCTGTTTTCGTTCTTGAATAATTTTCTTTTCAGATATAGTTCTTGTAGCCCACTTTTTCACTGTCAATTTATAACTAATTTTAAGAAGACATTCCATGCTTTTAATCCAAGCATGGAGAGTTGAAAGACCGAAGCAGAGACCTATCTCTGTCAATGGCATATTTTTAGCTGCATTAAGATCATTCATTTTTTTTGGGCTGCATCCACAAACAGAACAACACTGAGAAGATGTAGTTGCTGTAGATAATGCTGTAGCAACTTTGCCGTCCACCATCGTTATTTCAATTTTATGAAGTATTGTTAAGTTTTCACAAAATGTTAAAGACAAATTTGCAATTGAATTGTTAATAAACTGATTCTCTTGTTTCAAAACTTCAATGGTTTCTTTTTTAAATGAAAATCTTATTGGTCTGCAATATAAAGTTGAAGATGGATGTGGATTAGACCAAATTATTATTTTTTTATCATTAATGAATCCAAACAACTGAAGTGGAACAAAACAAGAAATAAACAAACTAGCTTCTTCTAAAAGATCTCTGTTTTCTTTCTCAACTGTTACTTGATTATAAATCCTTTGGCTAGTTGATCCATCAAACCCAACTTTAGAATATAAAGTCAACCTTTCAAGATCATTCATTGAATCAATAACTTGTTTCTGCAACTGTATTAGGCGTATTGCTGTATGATCGACTAATGCTTGAAAGTTTATTTCTGCTGAAAAATCATTTACAGTCCATAATGTTTTTTCAGGAAGACACTGTTCTTTAGCAGCACGAACATCATTGTAAGCAGGATAGAGATTACAACCTTTGCTCAAAGCATTATTTCTCAAGCGTTGGTAATCAGATTTGCTCATATCAATATCTAATATGAGTGCTAGAGCTTCATTTAGAGTGTTTTGAGTATGTTCTGTATCAAAAGGTTGCTTAATAGATAAACTTCGAACTACTTTTGCATCCTTTCTTCTGCTATCTTTAAAAAGATTACAACTACTAGCATACAACAGTTCATTTGATGAACAAGTTAATAAGTCCATAGCTGCTACTTTACGACTCTTTGTCTTATTTGATGAATCATCAAATAATTTTACAGGTCGACCACTAACTATAGATTCAGTTTTATTATCCTGATTTTTAAATGACTTAATAAAGTCTTTTTGAAGCCATACTGAATTATGTTTCATAAAGTTTTCATCAATTCTTTCACTTAAAGACCAACGTTTACGATACTTGGACAAAAAGGTTACAAACTGAGCATCAAATTCAGAACAGTATTCACGAATAAAATTGTAAACATAAAGTTTGTCTTTTTCATTAGACATAGATAAACCATGCTGTCTTATGAATTGATGAATTTGATATCTTGTGATGGTTGACATATTACTAATAATAATATTATTAGACTAAAATAATATAAACATTAAAAAGTTGTATTAACATATATATATATATATATATATATATATATATATATATATATATATATATATATATATATATATATATATATATATATATATATATATATATATAAATACTTGTTATTTTGCGACAAAAGAAACTTGAAAAAGAAACATCTTTGATTTTATAAAGTATAAGTATTAAAAAGTATTAAAAAAAGTAGCAGATACTAGCAGCTAAATTAATAATTTTATAAAAACATATACATATAGCCTTCAAAATATGTATAAGAGATAAAGGCAAAATAGAGCACAAATTTTTCCTTGTTGTCTTTTCAAAAAAAATTAAAAAAAAAGTCCAATTTTTACCAAAAAATATATCTAAAACTGGTTGAAAATTTTTTTTTAACTTTTTTTTTTTAATAAATTTTATATATTAACAATTATTTGATATGTTAATAAAAACAGTTAACCAATATACTAAAAATTTATTACACACTTTTGCTTTTTTAAAAACTACATTTTCTCACTTTATCGCCATTTTTTTTTTTGCAAAAATTTTACTTGAAATGAGTTTTTGTTGAGAATATATATTTTTTTAATTTATTGTAATTATTTTTAAGGTCCTCAATGTATCTAAGTAAAAACTTTTTAAAAAGAATTTCAGTTTTCAGACATAAATTTTTTTAGTTTTGTCCACCTACTGGCCCACTGTGCACCGTATAGAATAATTGCGTATGACTCAAAACCACGATAAAATGGGCAAAAGTTCAAAAAATTTGATGTTTTATAACTAAAAAATGATTAATCTAAGAAGTGCTGAAAATGTTTCCTAAATAACACCACTAAATATTTTTTAGGCCAACTTTAAAAAATGAAATGTGGGTATTAGATTACTTTACCCTATAGAATTTATCTTAAATTACACCAATAAATTTTCTTTAGGCCAACTTTAAAAACTTGAAATGGCGGTATTAGACTACTTTATAAAATTTAATAAAAACTTTAACGCCAAGAAATCAGATTAAAAAAAAAAAGAAAAAGCCTTCTAAATTTTTACGTAATGGAGTTTGTTACATAAATTTTAACTTAAAACAATAGGAAGTCAAGAGCTAGCATGTTAAAATAGTTTATTAATTTCTTAAATTATTTGTTTTATAATTGTTGTTTAAATTATTGGTTTTATAAATGATGTTTAAATTATTGGTTTTATAAATGTTGTTTAAATATTTGTTTTATAAATGTTGTTAAAAAAATCAGATCATCTTCGAAGACGCAGATAAGACAAATAACATATAAATTATAAATTTGTTCACAAAAAACATGTTCAACTAAAAAAAACAACAATAACAAAAAATAAATAAATTAGGTTGATTTTAAAATGTACTTAATACAAAAACGATCTTTTTGTTTGTTTCCACAATTTTATTACAAAAAAGTTTATATATTTATAAAAATTGTCCAAAAGTCCAAATAATTACATCTTAATTTTTTTCATATAATAATAATGAAACTCATAACTCTTTTAAAAAATGTCTTAGCAGTATCTTATTCTTAATGTCTTATCTTATTATCTTATTCATTATCTTATCATTATATCGTCAATAAACTGCCTCGTACTAAATTTGAAAAAAAAATTATATCAAATTAATTATTTGCGTTCCTATTGTTTGAAGTTCTTTCGCAACTTAATATATAAAAACTAACTAAAAAAATCTTCGTTTTTTTCTATTGGTGGAGGTCTATTCATTGATGCCGGTAAAGATGTTGGACCTTGTGTTAGATAGCCAGCAGTAGCTACTGGACCCGTTAGATAACCAGCATGTTGACGATCATTCAAAAAAAGATCGTGCATTTGATCTCTAAACGTAGGCCAAATTGTCGATGCCTCTAAAATTTGGTTTACCTTAAACAAAAAGAAAACATTTTTAATTGAGTTTCGAGCAAATTATAAAACTGTCGAATGATTTAATAAAATTATAAATATTATTACTATAAATATCATTATTTCATATATACAATATTATTTATATTATATATTATTAAATATTGTAGATTTTTTAAAACAATTTTAATTTCTTAACTAGATTTATAAAATGATTTACACATTTCCATCAGGAGTGGGAAAGCAAAGATGTCAACGACTCCATGTTTTTTTAAACGATTGCATATTGTTATCATCAGGAGTGGGAAAGCAAAGATGTTTGCGACTCCATGTTTTTGGTAAAACAAAAATAAATGTCTGAACTCCATGTTTTTTTTGGTAAAACAAAAAAAGATGTCTACAATGTTTTTTTAAACTTATGACCCTAACTTCAGCAAATTTTAAATCTTCGGCTCCCAAAATTTTAGTTTATGTCTTAGGCTCCCAAATTTTTAATTTATGTCTTCGGTTCCCAAATTTTTAATTTAGTTATTACATATTAAACGCATCATTTAGCAAAAAAGAAATATAGTAATATATTTAAAAGTAATGTTTACAAATTTAAATTTTAGACCGAATCTGAAATTGATGTTGTTTTAAAAGCTTCGTCTCTCACAGTCATTAATGTCATTGATTTTATTTACTTTTCGAAAAAGGTCATCCAACATGACCCTTGATTACACAATGGGTCCTATATATCAAATTAAAAAAAAGATTCTCAAAATATAAATAAACCTGGGTCTTAAAAGAACCAGAATTTTATAGAGATTTTAAAGTTAGCAATGAATTTTTATTAACAACTTAGTGAAAAAAAAGTATATAAAGTTTAAGTTATTTATTTTTATTTAAAATCATTCTTTCAGATATCTCTAAAAAATTCTGTTTATTTTCGAGCTCAATATACTTTTGGAGGAAATTACTTTAGTCTGCCTCAGATCTTAAAGAAAAGGTAAAAGCTCAAGCTGAAAAGAAATGAAGTTGACAAGTAAGAAACAGAAAGGCAGGTTAAAGCTAGGGAAATAAAAACAAGCAATGTTGTATTGTGTAAAAAAAAAAAATTCCCCCAAAAAATTTTAAATTAACACGGGGAGAAGTGAGGAGAAGATAGTGGGGTTCATTAGAAAACGCTAACAATCTAGTATGTAAAGAATGAAATCAAGAAACGGAAATAATTTCTAGCTGAAAAAATTAAGTGGAAATAACAGTAACCAAAAAATCTTAATGTTTAAAAACAGTTTGGTTCTGATCAGTTGTGTTATTAAAAAATTCGTTCGTACGATGCTTTTGATCTTTTATAACTTATTATAACTTTTACGTACAACAAGAAATGCTGCTAAAACACTGTAAAAAATAATTAAAAATAAATAAATAATAATAACACTTATTATAACTTTTACGTACAACAAGAAATGCTGCTAAAACACTGTAAAAAATAATTAAAAAATAAATAAATAATAATAACACTTATTATAACTTTTACGTACAACAAGAAATGCTGCTAAAACACTGTAAAAAAATAATTTAAAAATAAATAAATAATAATAACACTTATTTTAGAACCCTTTCGCACTATACCCTGGAATAAAATAATAATACCTTAAAAAGACAATATTTTTTAACTTATAAATTAAATCAATTTTTTCATACTGCCATTTGATACTGACATTTATTACTATAAAAATATTAATAAAAAAGTTTATTAACTAAAATTTTGAAAATATTAGTGAGTATTGATTTTAGTACTGTGTACTAACTGTACACAGTACTAACGATTATATATAAACAGATTAGATATTAGTTAAACAGCTGTCCATAAATTATGTCACGCAATTTTAAACAGTTTTTGACCCCTTCCCCCTCTTGTCACAACTTCGTAACTATTTAGTAACAAGTCCCGTATGAGTTGTCACAAAATACAAACCCCTTTCTCCACCAGAGCACAACATAATTTATGGACGACCCCTAGAGAACAATTTGCTATTCATATTTATGCTTGTATTGTATATTCATACTATGCTGTATAATGTTATATTTAACTATTTTAATTTAAAAAGTTTTAAATGTCTCTTTATATTTCTAAAAATATGACCATTATTTTGATCTAATTAATTGGGTTACCTGTTCTCCATAATTTGTATCTCGAATCATGGCTTTTAAAGCTTTAACAATCTGAGCTTTTGTACCAGAGGAATTTTTAATACCTGTTAGTGGGCTATCCAGTATGTTTAATAAAAACTTGATTAAATCAGACCTGACAGCCTAAGAAAAGAAAAAAAAAGTTATTAAATCAGACCTGACAGCGTGAGAAAAAAAATCTAAAATTAGAAAAACAGATTGTAGAGTAAATATATTCTAAACAAATTTTATTTTACTAACTTATTATTTTTCTAAAAAATGAATAATATGTGATGCTAATAAGTTTCAATGCAAAATCACAAAACAAAACAAAAACAAAACAAAACAAAAACTACCTGAGCAACAAGTTCGGTATTACTTTTTTCATACATTCTGCTTAATGTTTCTGCAGCTAAACTCATGATATCCTGACGTGATCGCATGGCCACAATCATTAGTCGAATACTATCTGTCTGTGACATTGTTCGAACACATAACTACAATATCATAAACTATTACATTAATTTTTAATTTTATTACGATGTTTAAACTTCTGGTTTATTATTTATGATATACACAATAATAACAAATGCAATAATAACAATTAAAAATTAAATTTACTTAAATTTAAAATTTTTATTACTTAGGTTGTTAGAAAATTTACAGAACAGCTGTTAATTTTTGTTTCTATTTTGATTCGTTATGTTGTGGGGTACCCAACATAATGCTAGTTTGTCTAAGAGAGTTGTGATTGATTTCATAGTAATGAAATTAATTGATTAATTAAATTGATTAAGCGATGTCAGGGCTTCAATTATATCATGTGTTGCACAACGGTTTTCTTCAACAATGGCATGCACACTTTCAATATTCTCAGTTGCATACATGGTTTCAGAGTGTCTTGTGTAGGGATCATCTTTGAGATTCTCTCTACCATCTTTAAAACTAGTAGCCTACTTGGCAACTGACTATATTTTAGTACTTGGTCATCATGAACTAATAGCAGTTGATTGGTCATCATGAACTAATAGCAGTTCATTTTTTATGGCTTGTGCTGAAACTCTAAGCAGAGCACAGGTTTTAACATATACTGGATATTCAATTTTTTCATTTAAATGTGTTTAACAAAAATTAAATAACTTTATTAAAACAAATTCAAAAAATTTTAACCTAAAATGATCATAATTAAATAAATCTAAATTCTGCAAACTCTATTTTAATATCTAAAATTTATAACAAATAAGCTTGGTTTCTAACATATGCCCTAGACCTATAAATTAATTAGGAAATTAAACTACTAATTCGTAACATGGCTTTATTTATGTAGTTGTTATTATTTATAAGGTAACTTAGCTTTAATCAAAAATCATGAATGCAAAATTTTATAACACACAATCAATACACAAAGGTCAGAAAAGTCTATGAGATCATTGCCTTGGGCCAATTCACAATTCATTTTATACAGAAGACACGACATATAACAGTATTGCAAAAGGTTTTTCAAGGTGAACATTATAGAAATATTTTAAAAATTGACAAAAACAAATCAATAAAACATAAATAAATGCAGGTTTCTTGGCTCTTTTATTTTTATCAAAATACCTTAAGATTTGTAACTCACTTAAGATTTGTAACTCACTTAAGATTTGTAGCTCACGAATTTGTAACTCACAAATTTCAGCTTTGCTGAAATATTAAAAGAAAATGATATTATTTATCAGCTGAAGTAGATGCTACTAGCGCCACTGATGTTTAAAACAGAAAACAGTGGTTTAGAACAACGGTTTACAGCAGAAAAGAAACACATCCTGGATGTGTTGCCGTGCCTTCAAAATGGTAGATGCTCCCTTTTAGCAATAAACAGTGTGTCTACCAATTTAAAGCTGATTCGTGTTATAAACTTTGAATTTATAAACTTAAGGGACTAGTTGCCTTTCTGCGATTAGCAGTTCAAATACATTTTAAGGTGATATATATAGATTTAATTATTCCCTGTCCTATTGCAACATTGATGAAGTTCTATGAACTTTGATAATGACCTAAGAAGCAAAATACATAAACTCATTTTAAAGAACACATAAATATTTTTGTGGTTTAAATGAAAACAAATATTTCTAACATGAGCACTCACTGAAACACTACTACAGTAGTCCACAAATTGAGCGCCTATTTATTTGTGAACAAGATTTCAGATTTAAAGCCAACCACATTCATGGAAGTAACCATTAAAAGCTTGTTCGTTATGAACTTGTAGGTAAAATAAAATTATAGAAAAATATTGTAAAAAAATTGATAAAATATTGCAAAATGTAACTTATATTTACATATACAAGTTCACTTCCACTAAAGTTGAACGATTTCAGCTATGTAGGATTTATTCTTTTATATATAAAAATTTAAAAGTTTTTAAAATATATAACTATTTGCATAGTACCTCGTTATTTGATAAGACATGAACAACTTGTAATGCATATTTTGGTATTGAGTTATTAGTTGATCCCATTACTTGAAAGATTTGAGGAAGATGACCAAGAGCAGGAACCTCAAAACAATGTATTAAAAGTCATAATATTTTGCAAATAAACAGTAGGAGAATAAAATTAATAAAAAACTGACTTGGTCAGCAAGAGGAGGCTGGGCACTGAATAATGAAACAATTGCTTGAGTAACTATCTCAATATGATCGTTCTATTGAAGAAAAAAAAAAATTAATTAATAAGAGACCAATATAGTAACTGGTGATACAAGTAGTATGTTTATTCTTACTGTGTTTAACGGTTTTGTTGATAAACTTATAAATTTGTCCATAAGTGAAACCATAAACTCTTTTGGCTTTCTTAACACCTAGTAAATACCAAATAAAAAAAATGAAACTATTATTAAAAAAATGTTGCTGCAAAGTAATAGAACACTTCATTTATTAGACTACAACTCTTTAATGTTATTGCGAGGTAAATTCTTCTTTAGTTAGACTACAACACTCAAATGTTGTTGCAAGGTAAATACTTTACTAGTTAGAAAAATACCCAGTTAGGTTGAGCAACAAAAAGTCGAAGAAAAACGCCACCAACAACAAACTCTTCTAAAACATCATCCAAAGTAATATAAAAGTTGTCGGGAAGCTAAATTAAATTTGAAATTGATATTAAACAACTTTGAACTAAAAATAATAAACTAAATAAAAATATTTAGTTAAATATATTAAACTAAATAAAATTCAAAAAAAAAATAAAAATTATTTACCTTCCATGTTGCATATGGATCATCTTTTTGTACAAAGAAATGTCTAAAAAAAATTTATTATACCCTTATTATTAACTATACCCGGGTTACAATTACCAAGGTTACATTTTTTAAACAAAACTTCATGTTTAATTGTATGTAAAAAAACAACAACAATTTAGTCATTGAACTATAATTCTGTCCAGCAAAACATAAAATAAAAAACATACTTAAAATAAAATAAAAAACATATATAAAGTAAAATAAAAAACATATTTAAAATAAAATAAAAAACATATTTAAAATAAAATAAAAAACATATTTAAAATAAAATAAAAAACATATATAAAGTAAAATAAAAAACATATTTAAAATAAAATAAAAAACATTTAAAATAAAATAAAAAAATAGATTAAATTTATATTATAAATTCAATTTATGCTAATTTATTCTAATCTAAATTAAATTTATGTTAATATTAAGTTGATAAAATTTAGTTGTTTCACTAATAATTCAAATTATTAGTGAAACAACTAAATTTTATCAACTTAATATTAACATAAATTTAATTTAGATTAGAATAAATTAGCATAAATTGAATTTATAATATAAATTTAATCTATTTTTAAGTAGTCAATTAAAAAGTTGATTAACCCAAAAAATTTAAGGTGAGTTTCCACTCATCCATTTTTTCACGGGAACGGGGAAGGCATGGGAAAAATAATCACGTGGGCATGCGTATTATAAGTTTTAATTTGTCCGAAGCAAAACTGCGCATGCTCAAGTGATTATTTTTTTCCTTTCCTATCCCGTTCCCGTAGAAAAACGGATGAGTGGAAACTCACCTTTACAAAGAGTAAGGTTATTCTTACTATTTTTACATTAATTAACTTTCTTATTGTTATTTTTCTGTTAAAACTTACTTTTGAATTTATTTACTTCAACTCAAGTCTCAACTAAAATAACTGCAAAAAAGTTCTTAACAATATAAAATTGTAATTTACCACAAAAATTTTTCAACAATATAAAATTGTAAATTCCCTTAAAAAGTTCTCAACAGTATAAAACTGTTAATTACCTATAAAAAGTTCTCAACATTCATTTAGTCAAAGTATTTTATAATTTAAAAAACTTTGATAATTTATTGTTTAAATAAAAATAAAAAAATAAAAATTTATGCATAATACTAGTAATGACCCCCCTTCCCCCCCCCCCCCTCCAAAAAAAAAAAAAAAATTTTTTTTTCTTTCTTTTTCTACTTACAAAGTTAAAAATAATAAAAATTTTTTATCCTTATTTCTTAAAAATATTATACCCATAAAATCTTTTTTTATACACATAAATACTATAAAATTCCACTTCCTCAATAAAAGAAAAACATTGATGGTGTGTAGAATTGATCTATAAAAGATACAGAGCTTGAGGCTTCTCTTGTTTTTTTAAAAACCCATGGCTTGAAGTTTAAAAAATTTCATGATTTCCAGTTTATGTTCATCAACTTAATAAGTTAATCAACTTTATAAACTTATTAATTCACTTAAACATATTTTGGTCAATATTAATTGTTTATATTAATATACTTTTTAATTTTTTTATTCCATGAACAATACAATTTATCAAAAAGACAGATATAAAAAGATGTTGAGCAAAAAATAGTAAACAAATATAAATAATATATATAATAAATACATAAACAATAATAAAAATATATATTTAAAATAAAACATACTTATCCTTCATATCTTTTGCAGTTGCTGATACCTTGTCTCTTGCATCATCATTCCATATAAGTTCGGGATTCTCATGGTTTGCTTTAAAACAAAATTATAGTTTATCAAAATTCAAACTTTTTTTCAAACTGAAAAAATGTTTAAAGTATTTTACCTTCAAACATATGAACTGAGGCATCTGGACTATCCCTCATAGCATCCATAAATATAGAAGGTAAAAATTTAGACAGTACAATTTTTACACGAGGACCAATTAACTTATCAGCCATCATTTTCGAAAAAAGTTCTGACGTTCTTGTTCTTACTGTGGCATTTGTTGAATTACAAAACAAATCAAGAAGATAAATCAAAGCACCTAAATATAATTTCTTTATTTTAAATTTTATTAAATATAAACCAATTATTTAATTTAAAAACATAATGATAAAATATGATAAAACTAATTTAAAAACTAAAGATTTAGTATTACCTTTTGACATGGCTTCTTTAACAATTTTTGTATTAGACATTAGTGCATATAAAGTATCGAGTACCAAAATACAAGCTAAAAAATAAAAAAATTAAAAAAAATTAAAAAAAAACTTTAAATGATAAATTATTATCAATTAATAAAAACATTTATAGATTTTTTGTGCAGCAGCTTTGATAAGTGCAACTCACTTATAGTAGGAAGAAAGTAGGGGAAGGAGGGGGAGGGGGGTAGGCAACATTTTTTTTTTGGATTTTGTGTAGTTTAACCACTTTTTCTTAATTTTTAATTATTTAGCCTTCTACTTCAATTTCAATAAAATTGATTATTTTATTATTATCAAAGTAGAGTCCATGGTAAATATTTTTCTTTTCAATTTATCAATAAAATACGCAATCATTAGTGTATTTATGTGTAGTTATAAAAACAACAAAAATTAGGCATTATACATGAAATTACACCATATAAGGAACAATTTGTAACAATTACAAGTGAAAATGTAAAATAATTTCATAGCAGTCATGGTGCAGTTATTGGAGTTCTTTCACAGAATCAAGAGGTTTGATGTCGGCTCTGGCCTGATAAATAACATTGGTAAGGAAGGAGGTGTCAACTTTCTAGTTAAATTGCTCCTAATGTAAAGCTTACAGATCTTTTTTTTTTGCTGACCCAATCTGTCTCAGTTGTTTTACTGGTTGCAATTATTTTTTGCTAACCTGCTCTGTGTCAGTTGCTATCACTGGTCCCAACTGTATTTTATATTTTCAAGTTTTTTAACAATAAGGTATATTTCTTGAAATATTTGTATATTACCTAAATCTTGATTTCACAATAGTGTGATATTTAAGTATATTACCATGAGGAATTTTTGTAATTGACGCCTAATGTTATTTGTGATTATTTTATAATTTGCAAAAACTGCAAAAATTTCTTTTTAAGTTTTTAATATTTTTAAAATGTTAACAAAAGAAGTAGAAAGTCAACCACAAAAAATTGCAAAAACTGAATTGTTTTTCAAATTTTTCTAAAAAAATTAATTAAGAATTACTAGTCAAACAAAAATATAGAATTTTGTCCCCAAATTATATATTATATATTCATAGGCTGAATATATAGAATATAAATGACATTACAAGACATTTAATTGCAACATATACATGACAGTACACATACAACACTTTAATTGCAACATATACATGACATTACACACATAACACTAGATTATCTACAAAAGTTTTTTGTTTGAAGTTTTGATGCTCTATGGGATCTACTATAAAATTCCAAAGCAATATGTGTGAGAATTGTTTGATAAATGTTTACCTAGTTCAATTTAGCCATATTTGATATAATATATAGCTCATCTCCCTGATTATACTTTTCAATTCTCTTTCCTTTAATCAATGTTTAGAAAATTTATTTAAATCATTAAAACGTAAATTCTCAAATGAGATTAATAAGATCATCTAATAAGCTATCTTTTAAGTGAATTCCTTCAGGTGGACTTTTTACATTTACTATTTTCCAAAACTCAACCACCTTAAAAATGTACTAACTTTTGTCTCTCAATATCTTAATTATTAAGTTGATCAATAAGCATAAAAGTTTGATTAAACATGAAATTAGCGAATTTTTAACTGGCAACATTTTAATTAAAAGTAATGGTCTTATCTAATAATAGTATACTATGTGTTTTTGACAAAAAATGCTACAAAAAAAAGTCATCAATGGAATTATGAGTAGCAATACTGTTTTTTTTTTAGGTGTAACATTTTTTTTGTGTGTGCAGAAACACCAAGTTTTTCTGTAGAATTACTCGAAAGTTCTCATGAACAGACAACTGATAAACTGATATTGAACTTAATGGTATAAAAAATGTTGTTTATTTTATGTTTGTTGGCTTTTTTATATTTTTTTTTTGTTTAGTTTTTTATTGACTTTTTTATGTTTTTACCTTGGAATCTATGCTGGTATTAAATAGGTAATTTTTTGTGCAAAAATACCCAAAAATACCTTGAAAGATAGAAATCAAAATCTTAAAAATCAAATATATTACTGCAATAGCAATACTGGAAGTTGAAGTTTCTCAGCAATACTGGAAGTTGAAGTTTCTCAGCAAGTCATACAAGCAATCTTGCAAATTACTCAAAAGATTGAACAATAACTTAATATAATTTTGGTCAAGAAGAAATGGGAACCCTGGTTTAGTTTATTTTGTCTCCTGGTTTATTTTGTCTCTTGTAATTACTATAATCCATCTCTAGCATTCTTTTGGATCTCTTGGAAAACTAGTTATTTTTTACTTTAATGGAGTTAGAGGAGAGTTAGAACATATTTAGTAACGCAGTCATAGTTAGAATTAAAACCAGTAAAAAAACATTTTTGGTGTATTTTGAAGTCATCTGATATGACTTCAAAATACACCACCTTTACTGCTAACTGTGACATATTTGGATTTATACCTTTAAACTAATCAAAAAGATGCAACTTAATGGAATGTAAAATAGCTAATTAAGTTAACCAATTAAAATTTTTGTGTGAAAAGATTTTATGAAATGTTATGGTAAACTGTCATAATCAGAATTACATTTGTAAAGTTACAAATTTTAAATTTCAAAATAATTTTACTTTAATTGTACAGACAAATTTTAACTTTCTTCATGTTGAAAGTCAGTCAAAAAAATAGCCAGTCAAATGTTTTGTTTGATACTTAACACACTTTTTGTTTGATACTTAACACACTTTTTATTTGATACTTAGCACACTTTTTGTTTGATACTTAACATACTTTTTGTTTGATACTTAGCACACTTTTTGTTTGATACTTAACATACTTTTTGTTTGATACTAAACACACTTTTTGTTTGATACTTAACACACTTTTTGTTTGATACTTAGCACACTTTTTGTTTGATACTTAACACACTTTTTGTTTGATACTTAGCACACTTTTTGTTTGATACTTAACTTTTTGTTACCACACTTTTTGTTCAATTTTTAACAATAACAGATATAAGCTATTCTTCTCCAGGCAGGAAAAATATTGTTTACTGCGGGAAATCTGATGGTGTCAAAATCTATTGTTCAAAGCATTACATGCTATTTACATACAGAGAACTTGTTTGCTTATTTAACAAAGAAAATAACATTAAAATCACTTATAATCAGTTACAAGAAGTTATCAATGCTAAAAATAACCTGATTATGCTAAGTAAAACACCAGAAGAGGATTGTCGATGTGAAACTTGTGAAAATGGTCAACTTTTGCAACAGGCAATAAAAAAATATTTCATCAAAGAAAAAAAAAATGTAATTGTTAAAAACCTGCCAGCTGAAGCACTGAATCTTGTAGAACTTGGTGTATGCTTTGTCAGTCCTATGCATATGCATTAAAAGGCAATTGTTTAAAATGTCTAGGAAGAACCATAATATCTGATTTGTGTCAAGAATTAAAAAAAAAAGATGTTTTTTCATATTATCGTTGGATAATGTTAAAAAAGGTTGTTTGCAAAGTTCAAGAAAAAGCTACTGGTGAAAAAGCTGCAATGCTTTTATAAGAAATGGTTGAAGATAGCAAATGAGAATGCATAAGTATAATATTTCCTGTCAGTTTTCAGAGTTAAAATGGCTGAAGGCAAATCTCAAAGAAGATGAAGTTATAATCAGTGTCAATTTTTCCAAGAACTATGAAAATAAACTCTATGTGATCCAGAGTACTTATTTTGTGCATGAACATTTTACCATATTTACAGCAGTTTGTTATTTTCATCACACAACAGTTTGTTACTTTCATTACAGAGCAGCTTTTTACTTTCATTACACAGCAGTTTGTTTCTTTCATAAAGGTATTGTTTCTTTCATAAAAGTATTACAGTTCAGAATGATAAACTTGATAAAAATTTCAATTTGGTAAAGTTTCCAGTAGCAATCTTATCAAATGAAACAAAACATGGTCGTAATTTTGCATTTAGAAATAACAACCGCTTATTAGCATGATCGAGGGTATAGCTCCATCAGTCTCCACTTTCCATTTCTGGAGTGACGAATGTGCTGGTCAGTTCTAATCTCAATTTGTTTTTCGGTCCTTCTCTTATTACCCTGAAAATATTACATTGACTTGGAGTTATGGTGAGGCACATCACTTTAAAGAATCCCATGATGGAATTTGTGAAACTATTAAAAAACAAGTTTACAGGGAAGTTTTTTCAGCTAAAGCTGTAATTGAAAATGCTAAACAGTTTTTTGAAGTAGCTGATCGGCTGTGTGACATTACAGTGATCTACTTAGACACAAAAGATATTGAGTCCCCAAAATTAAAAAATAGCATTTACACTCATGGAACTTTTAAGGTAACACCATCTTAGAAGATTAAACCCAAATTAAATTGACTTATACTTAAACAGCACCTTTAAAAAATCATCAGATGTTTTTAAATCATTGACATGGGAAAAAAACAATGGAAAAGCAGAAGGAGAAAAAGAAGGTTATTGACAGTGATGAAAAAAATCTATGAAGTCTATGAAAATTTTGTTTTTGTTTGTTTAAAAAAGAATTATGATAACTTCATTAATGTGTCCTAACATGACATTTAATGTCTTTAATTGATTTGGAAAATTTTTTTTTTTAATATTTGCCAAGAACACTTTTTTAAATTTAACATAAAGGTCTTATACCTGTTTAAAGGAACTTTTTTTTTGCTGTATCTCTATTAAGTTTGATAGAATTTAAACCCTAAGTAGAAAGTTGATTTTACATCTTTTCAATCGATCCTTCCATGACACAAGTTTTGAAGGCATAGAGCAGAAACTTTAGAACTCAACAAATAATGTCTTAAATAATGCAGAAACTTTAGAACTCTTTCTCAGGTCTTTAACCCCAATTACTATTATTTTATAGGTAGTTACTAAAATCATAACCGCCGACTCCTTTTTTTTTTTTTTTTTTTTTTAATTTACAACTTAGTATACCCATTTCTTTCTGTGACAAAAACATTACTTTTCAACTCTGTTTTATACTAAGCAACTTAATGTTCATTCGTGGTGTTTGCACGGAACTCAAACCCAAGTTAATGGATAGAGTCTCAGTTCTTTTTGATAAGGAAGTATAAGAAATTTAATGCAAATATGTGAATATGTAACTTATGTAAATTAATAACAATATGCTATTTACATTTAATGTAAAAACTCTGTATAGCATTATCTACGAACATCTGTGTAAACCTCAGTAAGTTGAGTGGTCGTGTATGGAACAGTCGTGTATAGCTTTGCCTATTGTCTCTTGATCAAATATACAAAAATAGTAACGAAAACTTATTTTAAAATTTTTTAATGGAAGGAATTGAAATATCTTTAACAACATTTTCAATGACTGGTTTAAGGATTGGGCAACTCTCTACCCATGGGCCTTAGATCTGTGTTTCAGACATTTGTGTTTCCGCAGACATCTGTGTTTCCGCAGACATCTGTGTTTCGGACTTTTAATTTGGTAAAATCCTAAGCAATTATATTTCAGGTGTTTACATTTTAGAAATCAATAATTTACAACTCAAGATTTTTGAATAAACAAAGAATTGCTTGGAATTACCAAGTCCCTAGAGTACTATTTTTTAGACTCTGAAAGCAAAAACCTATTGGGGATCCAAACTAAAAAAAAAACACCTAAACCATTATTAAGATACCATGGATTGTATATAAAGTAAAAACAAACCAATTCTAAGATATAAGGGTGATGATATGGTCTGAATGATTTCATATGTAATGGCCTATAAAAGACATAACTCTTTTCTTGACACAAGATTAAAAAAAAATGTTTCAATCTTGTCTCTTTGTTTATCAAAAAACTTAACTATATCTATAATGTTTTATAGTCTAATAAACAATTTAATAACTTGCTTACAAGAGGGTAGTGTGTGAAGAGTTAAGAGAAGATAAGCAAGTACATCAGCATCTGCAATGTTAACAACACATTTACCATTGCCAGTGACACTTGATATAACCTGAAAAATTGAATAGTAATATTAATATAACTCTAATGAAATATATTTCCATTTAAATATTTATTTATACATTTCCATTTAAATATTTATTGATATATTTCCATTAAAAGATATTTCTAAAAAAGGGACAAATTTTCAATAATTAGATATAAAATTACTAAATATTATAAACTATTTTTATATTTTAATATATTACAACTGTATAAAAACAAACAATTTTTGCTCTGAAAATAATAAAAATAATTTTTACTACAAAATAACCTCTAAAGCAAGCTTTTGTAGCTTTTCAGCACCAGTCAAACGAAGTAATGAAAATAAAAGTTTAAAATGCCCAATACAACGTACTTCAACACCTAAAATATTTATATTACAATGATATAATAATCATCTTTAATTTAATTTTTTGTATTTAACATGGTGGATTATTATGAGAAGTGTATCCTTATAAATGCACAGTGATAATCAAAATAAGAAGTATACTTTTTAAAATATAAATTATAGATTTTAAACCATTATATATATATATATATATATATATATATATATATATATATATATATATATATATATATATATATATATATATATATATACACCTCTTATTTATAATTAAAATGTAAATGATTAGTTGTAACACATTTACCACATAGTTTGTATGTGGTAAAATGTGTTACAACTAGGCTCCAGTCTCCCCTATAACTGAAAAAGTTTAAAAAAATCTATGGTATTAATATTTATGTAAATTATTACATATTTTATATGTCTATATTGTTATTATATCTATTATCTGCATTTTTAAGTTATTTTACTATAATTGGTAAGTAACATTTTAAAAGCATTCTTTTGCTATCTCTTGCTTAAACCCAGATGGGTTGCTACATCTTGTTTGCTTGTATCTTATATGTTTATTTTATTAATTTTATAATTAGACACTAAATTTATATACATTCTTATTTGAATTATATGTAACTGACAAAAATTTTTTTTTGTCTCTAAAGAGTTAAAGAATTTTTAAGATTTTACATTATTAACAAGATATTTCTAACTTCTTATTAATGTAATAATCACATTATAAATAAAAGATTTCTAACTGCTTTGATGATGTTAATAATGCAATAATCACACTATTAACAAGTTTGAGATTTATATCTTCATATTAATGTGATAAATATCACATAAATAATGTAGATGCATAATTAACTTTTAGTTTTTTTTAGTCTATAGATGTCACAAGAAGCGCAATTCATAACTTAACTTTCTTATGAGTGATACTTAATGTTTGAACATATAACTATAACTTTTTTTTTAAAACACCTAAAATAAAAGAAGATTATAAAGCAAAATAACAATTAACAGATGACTTAAAAGATTGCAAATTTCATGAATCTGGAAAACAAGATGAAGCGAATTCTAAATAACTGATCTTCGAAGAAAAAAACTAGACAAATAAGAGTTTTTGGAACACTTAGGATCAGTCACAGTAAAAAGATAAGACTAAATTGAGTGACACGAGAATGACTTTTAGTAGATGGCACAAGAGACACAAGCTCTTTAGAGCAGCTTCTATTATAGTATTTATAGAAAAGAGAAAAGAAGGTAACATTACAACAATGTGACAATGGTTGAAGGTTGACTGCAAGAGGAGGTCCATCTATGTTTACAATGCGTTTTTGCACCTTGTCTAAAAGACAATACAAGTTTTAGTTTTATTCATTATTTAGTTTCAAAATTTAGCCAAACAGAGCAAAACTAGCCACAACTTGTCTGGGCATTTAGGGAACCCATCAAACAATGACAATACTGCCCATTAATTCTTCAGAAATACAGAACAAACTGCCTAACAACTCTTCAGAAACGCAGAATAAACAGCAGCAATTGCTGTTGACAATGTTAAACTGATATTGTACAATTGATTAAAAAAATAAATGTTGTGTTAGGTACATTTTTATCTAATTTTATGACTGGTAATGAAAAATTTAAAGCCTTGCCACCACACAACCCTTTGTACAACTTTATCGCTGGTACAACATGCCTCATAGCTTGCACATAATCTTGATACATGGGGGAGGAGGGGCAGGTTGTTAATCAGATGGTGTTGTGAATTGTGATGATGAGTGAAGAGACCCGAAAAACACATAAAAACTTTTCAAAAATTTAGCATATTTTATTCAAGAAAGTGTTCATGTTCAATAATAAATGAAGACTTTTTACACTGCTTTATGTGCTCATCAGATCCTGTGATCTGTGCTTAGCAATTACCAAAGAATTTTTAAAAAATTCAAAAAGGCAATTTACCAACCATACATAAATATCTTTGCGCACTTAACCTTGCATAAAATGTTAATTATGACATCATACTTCAGTACACATCAGTTGAGGGTTCCGGTTGGGCCAGGTTCAATCTAGATAAATCAGCTGAGGATTCAGATGTGAAGTACATTTATTATAAAAAAACTTTTAATTTTTTTTTCATTATTCTTTATCTGGAAAACTAGCATGATCAAACTAAATGCCAAATTGTAATTTATAAGTGAGACAAGTCCTGCTGTGGTATGCTTTTACAACATTATTTTCATTTTTTTTTGTCATTCTAAAATGTTAAGAGTTGCAACCATTTTTAGTGATCTAATTTTGCTGAACTTAACTTCACCATTATCTTTTTGCATTACATACTTTAATACTATCAGATAACATGCCTAAAAACTACATAAAACAAAATTCATTTCTTTTCTCCAAAAATTCTTTCTTTTCTTGCCAGAATTGATGTCCAAACTTTTAGGCTAATAGAGTACATTCTTGTGGATTAGTTAGATTCTTATATTTTTTATAAGTATACACAACCTATTTTAATGTTTAACATGTAAGAAAATAAAAATTTGATTTAATAACTGTATAACTTATTCAAATAAAAATTATTGTTTTGTGAACTTTGAAAACTTGTGAAAAACATTTAGCTTTAAAAATTCATATAAAACCTTTAACTTTAAAAATTTGTGTAAAGCTTTGCAAAAAAATTACCTGAATTTCCTTTAATAACATTTCTCAGAGCTTCAAGTGCCATACCGATTTTTTCTAGCCGAGACATGTGAGCACTAGACTTACTAGTATCAATATCAGAAGCAGTTAAAGCCATTAACGAGTGAAGATACTGATAATAAAATATTTATATGATATCATAATATTATTTTAACATTATTTAACAATAACAATTAGTAATATTACTTAATAATGCAAAATAATACAAAAAAATAAATAACATTTGTTTTTTGTACTATTATTAATATTAATTTTTATGCTCATAAAAACATAAAAATTTTAAATACTTTTATACATTTTGTCTGTTTAAATCTTTGAGAAAAATGATTTAATAATAATTTACTTTAATAATTTACCTTAATAAAATTGAAGTACATAATATTAGGAATTTGTGCATATAATAGTTTTAGGTAAAACATAATTTAAAAAATTAAATTTAAAAAAAATTTAAAAAATAAAGTTTTTCCTGTAGTAAATAATAGTTCATTTACCTGTCTATTATATATAACATTTTGCACAACATGTTTTATATTATACATGGTTGCATAACATGTTATCTATAACATAATACATAATATTATATCATAGCATATTTTGCATAACATTGTGTATTATATCATACATAACATTTATCATATTATACATAACATTTTGAATAACATTGTGTATTATATCATACATAACATTTATCATATTATATATAACATTTTGAATAACATTGTGTATTATATCATACATAACATTTATCATATTATACATAACATTTTGAATAACATTGTGTATTATATCATACATAACATTTATCATATTATACATAACATTTTGAATAACATTGTGTATTATATCATACATAACATTTATCATATTATACATAACATTTTGAATAACATTGTGTATTATATCATACATAACATTTATCATATTATATATAACATTTTGAATAACATTGTGTATTATATCATACATAACATTTATCATATTATACATAACATTTTGAATAACATTGTGTATTATATCATACATAACATTTATCATATTATACATAACATTTTGAATAACATTGTGTATTATATCATACATAACATTTATCATATTATACATAACATTTTGAATAACATTGTGTATTATATCATACATAACATTTATCATATTATACATAACATTTTGAATAACATTGTGTATTATATCATACATAACATTTATCATATTATATATAACATTTTGAATAACATTGTGTATTATATCATACATAACATTTATCATATTATACATAACATTTTGAATAACATTGTGTATTATATCATACATAACATTTATCATATTATACATAACATTTTGAATAACATTGTGTATTATATCATACATAACATTTATCATATTATATATAACATTTTGAATAACATTGTGTATTATATCATACATAACATTTATCATATTATACATAACATTTTGAATAACATTGTGTATTATATCATACATAACATTTATCATATTATATATAACATTTTGAATAACATTGTGTATTATATCATACATAACATTTATCATATTATACATAACATTTTGAATAACATTGTGTATTATATCATACATAACATTTATCATATTATACATAACATTTTGAATAACATTGTGTATTATATCATACATAACATTTATCATATTATACATAACATTTTGAATAACATTGTGTATTATATCATACATAACATTTTGAATAACATTGTGTATTATATCATACATAACATTTATCATATTATACATAACATTTTGAATAACATTGTGTATTATATCATACATAACATTTATCATATTATATATAACATTTTGAATAACATGTATAACATAAAATGCTGCATAACCTTATGTATAATTATGTATAATAAAATTAATATAGCAACTTAATAATAAATAGAGTGTTAATAATACATAATATTGCAAATTAATAATATAGCAACTTTTACATAAATTAATTAAACTAAACTTAAAGAAAATAATTATAGAGAAAAATAGCTTATAAATAACTTTACATAAAACAAATCAAACTTAATGAAAACAGACAGATTAAAACAAAACAAAAACTTTTTCTCTTAAAATTTTTTAAGAATGGTACTAAAACATAAACATATTTCAGGCTTAAAACATTGAAAAAAATCCCCAAAGTTATAAGATTTTCCTGGTCCTAATAAAGTAATAGATCTATTAAGGTCTCAAATATATAATCCCATAAGTTGTGAATTTATAATTTGTCAAATACTGAATTTATCTAAATTAACTGACTATAGAGTACTTAATCACCTTTAAAACCCAATTAGTCAGTGTAACACTTGTCACGTTTACAACCCAATTAGTCAGTGTAACACTTGTCACGTTAAAAACCCAATCAGTCAGTGTAACACTTGTCACGTTTAAAACCCAATCAGTCAGTGTAACACTTGTCACGTTTAAAACCCAATCAGTCAGTGTAACACTTGTCACGTTTAAAACCCAATCAGTCAGTGTAACACTTGTCACGTTTACAACATAATCAGTCAGTGTAACACTTGTAAAATAGATTAAAAAATGGAAAACAAATCAAAGTTGTTCATTTCTATTTTTTGATAATATTAGAGACTAACTGTCAATAGCGTTGAGCAAACCCTAAAAATAATATTTACAGTCAAATTTTTAAAATTCAGAGTTATATTATTATATAGAACATATTATGGGGATACCAGCTTTTACCAGTGCCTGTGAACATAAATATATTTTTACCTGTGTCTGTGAAACTAAAAATATTTTTACCTGTGCCTGTGAACCCAAATAATCTAATAGAGCACTGCCAAAACTATAAGGATCCTAAAAAAAAGTTTAAAATTTTTTTTGAGATTAATAGAAAACTAAATTACTAATTAAATTACACAATACCTTAAATTAAATAATTTAAAAATCTACTTATAAAATGCACTTCATAAAAACTATTATTTTCACCCAGTTTAAGTAACCATTGCTGCTAGAGACAAGAAGACTGGAGACAATTTTCTTGCAACAACAGGTAATTTTCTTTCAATATTTAAAAAGACATCATTTAAATATTTATTTTGCAGATGCACAGTGGGCCAGAGATTGGCATAAATGCTGAAAATGATTATTTGTGGAAACCTTTTTTTTTTTGCAAAATTTTAAAAGTAAATACCCCACAATAAAATAATCTGATGTTTAAATACTTTCATTTTTGTTTTAGGAATCCTGGGTAAGTTTTCAAGCTTGTCCATTTAAAAAACGTTTTTTTTTTAAAAAAAACAGAGTTAATACTCATAAAATTGAATTTCACCTCGTAAGAGCAGTTTTCTCTAATTTAATTAAAATATTATAGTCTCAATATAAGGGTACATGCTTTATTATAGAAAACTAACAAATTTTTTTTTTTTAATTTGCATTCACTCCCAACAAGGCTGCAAGCAACCACTATTAAGTTGGGAGTTACTAGGAAAAAAAGAACAGAGTTATAGAGCAAGAAAACGGTTGACAGAAGACTTGAAAAGTTGAAGGTTGTATGAGTCAGGAAAACATGAAGATGGGAAAAAAACTAGATGAATAAAAGTTTTTAGAGTATGCAGGGACAGATACAGTAAACGAATGAGACTTAGCTGAATGACGAGTAAAATGAGAATGAATTTTAGTTGATGGAACTAGAGATGATAACTCCTTTGAGCAGTGATATGATATGACCATGATAGTATTTGTAGAAAAGAGAAAGAGATGCAATTTTACGACGATGGGAAAGAGGTTCAAGCTTAGCAGATAGTCCAGGTCCAACAACATTTATAATGCGGTTTTGGACCTTGTCAAGAAGAGAAAGTGAATCATTAGAAGAACCAACCCAAATATGACAACAGTATTCCATACAGGGACGAATAAGAGATTTGTAGAGGTAGAGAATTAAATCAGAAGTAAGGAAATGGCAAGCATGATAAAGAGAAGCAACCTTAGCAGAAGCTAATTTAGCAATCGATTGTATATATGGTTTCCATGAAAGGTCAGTAGTAAGCGATAATCCAAGAAGACGTAAAGAGGAGGACTCAGTAAGAGGATTGCCATTCATTAATATAGGAATGTTGACCATATTACGGTAGTTGTTTGCAGTAAGCCACTGGGTTTTTTTAGAGTTGAAATTCACAAGCCACTGTGAACCCCAATCTATTACTGAAATGAGATCGGATTCAAGATCAGCTGCTTGTTCTAGGCGATCGAAAAGAGAAGACTTTTTGTCAAGACAGGAGTATAAAGTTGAGTCATCAGCAAAAAGAGCTACTTTAGATGAAAGGTTGTCAGGAAGATCGTTTATGTAGATAAGAAACAAAACAGGGCCCAGGATGGAACCTTGGGGAACTCCAGAAGTTACTAGAAATAAAGAAGAGTGTTGGCCTTCAAGGATGACTTTAATAAACCGGTTAGAAAGAAATGATTTGATAATCTCAAAAACTTTCCCAGAAACACCATATAAAGCAAGCTTATGGAGAAGACCAGCATGCCAAACTTTGTCGAAAGCTTTAGATATGTCGAGAGCAATAGCCCTAGCCTCACCGCCTCCATCTAATGTACGATAAAATCTTTCAGTTACAGCAGTTAGCAAGTCGGCCGTAGAGCGAGAGGATCAAAAACTGTATTGATTGTCTCACAGTAGTTTATTTGACTCAAGATGAGATGTGAGGAATTTGTTGATCAAAGACTCTAAGACCTTGCTAATAACAGAAAGAAGACTGATCGGACGATAATTGGAGGGGTCAGAATTTTCTCCAGAGTTTTTGAATATTGGAACCACAGATGCCATTTTCCAACAAGCAGGAAAACAAGACTCAGTCAAACACTTGTTAAATAGTTTGGGGAGAATTGAAGAAAGTTCTGGAGAACAATTCTGCAAGACTGTGACAGGAATGTTGTCTGGACCACAAGCTGTAGACGAGTTTAATTGAGATATGACTTTAGCAACAGAAACCGGAGTGATTTGAATGTCTAACAATGGGTCAACCTGTTTGACTGGAATGGAAGGAAGAGAATGTCCATAAGATTCAAGAGTGGAATTAGAAGAAAAGTTCTTTGCAAATAGTTCTGCCTTATCTTTGGGAGAGGTAATAAGATCAGACACATGAATGAGAGATGGAATGTTAGATCTACCCTTGTTAATAATGCTGTTGAAGATTTTCCAAAAGTCTTTAGAGCCTAACTTCTGCGATAAGATGCGAGATTTAGTGAACTGAGAATAATGGAGTTTAGCATTAGAAAGCACCTTTTTACATCGATTTCTTGCAATAATAAATAGCCATTTGTTCTCAAGAGAGTTGTTCTTTTGAAAAAGATGAAAAAAATGATTACGATTGGATATAGCAGCCGCACAAGAAGGAGAAAACCATGGAGTAAAATGAGGCTTGACTTGAAACCGACGCGAAGGAATAAAAGCTTCCATTCCAGCCTGAATCCAGGAGGTTACATAGGAGGCGCATTTGTCAGCTGAGATAAAATGAAAATAAACTTGTATTTTATAACTTTTTTCTTAATTTGAAATATGACAGTTAAAGTATTTTATAAGAAAATATAATAAAAAGTTACCATAAAAGGCTCAAGATCTTTTTTCGCCCACGTTTCCCCTCATTTCCATAGGAATAATTTTTACAGAGTCTTATTATTGTATAAGGTTTCTCATTAAAAATATCTTGCGCAAAGTTGAAAAAAATAATATGTTTAGCAGGTTTTAAACTTATGACTTGTTTGTCATTTTTAATTGTTCAAAGCACATTGTTGTTAAATATGAACTCTAAATAATTAATTGCAATTATGCAAACTACAAAAAACAATTAAATTTAATGCTATTTCACTTAAGTAATGTGGTTTTTTTATTTATAAACTTAAACTTATTTCAGTTAACTATCAATTATGCTTTTATTAATTAAAATACAAATACTATTTAAAAACTTTAAAAAACTTTAATTATAATTTTATATCGAAATTTCATTGTACCAATCATTATGAAAAATAAAGAAATTACTCAAAAATTTTTTCATGCTTTACAAAAAAACTTAATCAAATCAGTTACCAACCCTGATGCTTATAAAGTTACAGGGATCGCTGACATTCAAATTAATTTCTAAACAATTTAACAAAAAATGAAATAAAGTAAACAGACACATAGATAGATTTGAGTTGCATTAAAAAATCTGGTTAGAAAAAGAACTGCAAACGAGCAATGTATGTTTGGAAACAGATAAACTAGACAAGGGCCAAAACTCAAGCTTGGCTTTTCCTACTTCTCACAATTTAGGAATAATATTTCATAAAAAATAAAGTAATGGACTCATTATTTTATTATGTTTTAGCAATATTTAATTCAATATTTAATTGTGTTTTAGCAAGTGTTTACACTAAATACAATCATCTGATATTTTAATTTAAATCAGTTGTCTACCAAAGACCACCAGGTGCGAATTCCATACAAATTACCCAAGCTTTTGAAAAAACAAAAAGGAGGAGAGCAGAAAATTGCTGTTGAAAGAGAGGAATTATTTTACTTATTTTGAAACTAAGAGAGGAAAAAAGGTTCAGCAATGCTAAGGAATATTATCATTTATGCTATAGCCATTTTTAATTCATCTTATTTATTAAAAAAAAATCTCCAAAATACTACAGGTGATAAATTTTTTTAGTGGATTGTATTTATCTCACTATTCAAATTTACAGTTTTACACTTAAAGTTGTAAAAGGAGATATTAAAACCAGAGAAAGATGGTGCAGTTAATTCAACAACAATGTTTACTGGAGAGGAAGTATTAGCTTTGATTTTGGACTACCAACTTAGTAAAGCCAATTACCAAACAATTCGTATTGGAGCAGTTTCTAAAAGAAACAAATTGCATCCAACTTATAGTAAGGGATTTACCTTGTTGTGGAATACAAATTACTGATTATCCGGCGCTACTTGACTTTCTCCCCTCCTTGTTTTTATGATTGATTATGAAAGAATACATTATTCTGATTCAGAATCATATAAAAACATGGGTCTGAAAACTTTAGGAAAGTACTCTAATTTTATGTTAAAGTATAAAAAACCACAGATCAATCAGAAATGCGTTTTGCATAAAAGTGTCAATAGAAACCAGGGTTTTTAAAAGTTGTTACTGAAAAGGATTTTAATCTTAACGAGTATGTCCCGTTTCAGACAGTTTTTATATGATTCTGAATTAGAATAATGTTTTCTATCATAATCAATCATCAAAAAAAAAAAAAAAAAAAAAAAAAAAAAAAAAGGGGGGGTGGGGAGGGTAAGGGAAGAAAGTTGAGCAGCGCCTGATTATTTAGCCTCAGTTGATTTATGCAGCCTTATTGACCATACTGCATAAAGGTTGTTAAAAATACTTAATGAATTTGTAATCAATACTAGTCTTTATACACTAAATATGATTTGATGGTTCAACCGACTAATCATTATACAAACAAAGTAAAGAAGATGAGATAAGTATCATACATGTTGAAGACCAATCTTTATTTCTATCCAGGATCGCTATAATGAAACTTTATATTGAAGAATCTCATGAATCACTATGGACCAATGAAAAACCATCCTCTACACTTTACTGCTTTCAAGTACGATTTCAATATGTAAAAGAAAGTGCTGTTATTACACAAGAATATATTTCCTTCAATAACAATAATTTGAAACCAACAGTCTTTAATTTCTTTGCTATCAAACATAAGTTAGAACGCACAATTATTGATGGAAAAGTGGCTACTATATTTTTGCCTTTAAGTAGTTCTTTTCAAGTATGTAGTATTTTTGGACTGCCACTTCAAAGATGAACAATCTAAATGTTGCTTTTTAAAAAATCTCTAATGTAATTTTCACTGAGCTTGGATTAAGCACAACACATGCATAGATTAGATGCTTTGAATACTGCCGTCATATATGTTATAGAATTGAATTAGGAAAGTGACAAGTTAGGGGAGAGGATGATAGAGAAATTATTATAAAAAAAGATTATTGTTCAACAAAAGATGAAAGATTACTGATCTTTTTTGATCAGGTTTAATTGTAGATATACCAAAAAGCAGCTGTTCAGGTACAACAAATGATGGAAACACAACATGAAAAATATTCCAAAACTATAAGCTACTGAAATACTTGGCTTCAATAAAAATCTCACGAAACGTTTCTACATAATTCTTTGTGTTTTATGGTGCAAACATCAAATTAACGCTGATGAACTTGAAAAATATACCAAAGAAACAGCAGAGCGCTGCGTTTCTCTGTACCAATGGTTCCCAATGCCACAAATTGTACATAAAATAATAGTTCTAATACTAATTCATAGTTCTCAAGTTGTAAGAGATAAACCATTACCAATAGGTTTTTTTTCTCAGCTAAAGAATGTCAAAATAAAGACGTTAAAAATTATAGAGAACACTATACAAAAAATATTCAAGAAAACTCACTAATGAAGATGTAACGCGAACATTAGTGTGCAGTTCAGATCCAATTATTAGCTCTCTAAGAAAGAGTTCAAGATGTAATAAAGAACTTGAACTTGAAATAAAATAATAATAAATAAACGTTTCTTTGTTTATAAAAAAGAGGTTTAGCACGTAACAAACATTTTAATTAATTAATTAATGCTTTGAATCTGGAAAAAACTATTTCTAAAAAAAACTAAAACTTATGTCTAAAATCCCTAACGTCTTATGCACCCTTTTCTATTAGGGTGTTTAGGGTGCCTTCATCTGCAAAAAAAATAATTTTTTTTAAAACTGATCTTCATGAAGACTAGAGTCACTGATAAAAATTTCAATTTGACAACTTTAAAAATAAAGGAGTTATTATTTTTTGTCCATTTTATGTCAATCTTGGCCTACTGTGAGATGTAATGAATAGGATAGAGTATGAATTCAGCATTGTCATGTTGTTTTCGTTAAAATGGTGACAAACTAAAAAGTTGAAAAATGCCAATATTTGTCTTTTAAAAAATTATTTTATCAAAATCAAGTAATTTAAACACTCAAGTGTTTATATTATTGGCAGGGATGCGGAGTCCCAAAAAGGACTCCGGATTTTAAAGTCACAAAAAGATTACTTCTTCCTAGTTTTTGAAAATGAATGTGATAATATTTATCCTAGCATCCAGGAGCTCTATAAATAAAAAAAAAATTATGGACTACTAACAGGAAAAAAAAAAAAAAAGACTTTTAGGTAAGAGGAACAATTATTTTTTTAACCCGTAGTCCTTAGGTATAATGGCGGTAAGGACTCCAGGACTCCAGGCTTATAAACAATAAGTTCCAAGTCATTAAATCTCATGAATTTTTTCTCTTATAGCAGGCCATAAAATTGTTTTTTTGTCATTTAGAAAGAAAGTTTTCTTTAAAAAATTGTTTTTCATTTTCATAAGCAATTTGATTTTCTTCAGAAAACTTGAAACTCACAAAACTTTGTTGATTTCTCAAATTTCTTTACCTTATTAAACTCCATATAATGTTACTATGAAACTGTATGGGTATAATCTAAAAGACTGTATTAAATATATCTTATGTTAAGTACTTTATATTTATAAAGACCAGTATAAAAGATTTATCTCTGACTTACAGTATAAAAGATTTATCTCTGACTTACAGTATAAAAGATTTATCTCTGACTTACAGCAAACCAGTTTCAAGACTCAATAAATTAAACTATTTCTTAGATTCTCCTCTTTTCAATTATAATAAAATAATAATAAAAAACAACAACTATAAAATCTGTCTAAAAGAAAGAATTAAAATATATTTAAAAAAATATTTGTTATATAACAACATTTATAAAATAAAAAAACAAACCAGAAGTGGAAATGTAGGCTGCTCATTATAGATTCGAACAAAGATTTCTCCAACAATTAATTCTTTACTGTGAATAGTAAACACAAAATCCGCTCCAAATGTTTGATCTTTCTAAAATATTGATTTATAAAATTTTGAATTCATAACACATTTTAAAATTTTGAATTCATAACATATTTTAAAATTTTGAATTCATAACATATTTTAAAATTTTGAATTCATAACATATTTTAAAATTTTGAATTCATAACATATTTTAAAATTTTGAATTCATAACATATTTTAAAATTTTGAATTCATAACATATTTTAAAATTTTGAATTCATAACTCATTTTAAAATTTTGAATTCATAACATATTTTAAAATTTTGAATTCATAACATATTTTAAAATTTTGAATTCATAGCATATTTTAAAATTTTGAATTCATAACATATTTTAAAATTTTGAATTCATAACATATTTTAAAATTTTGAATTCATAACATATTTTAAAATTTTGAATTCATAACATATTTTAAAATTTTGAATTCATTTTAAAATAAATTTGAATAAGAGTAACAGTATAATAAATTTATAAATAATAAAATATAATAATAAAATATTTTTGAATAAATAAATTTGTAAATAATAAAATATAATAATAAAAGATTTAATAAGTTATAATAATCTAAGATATAATAATAAAAGATTTTGATAATAAAATATAATAAAAGATTTTGTTGAACTTTTGAATAAATAAATTTTTGGATTGTTTGTGCAATTTTATTATGCATTAAACAACAAATAACATTTGAACCGCAAGATTTTGCAAAAAGATAAAACTCTCTGCAGTCCCTTCTTACATTAGATAAAACTCTCTGCAGCCCCTTCTTACATTAGATAAAACTCTCTGCAGTCCCTTCTTACATTAGATAACTAAAACTCTCTGGAGTGAAAATTTTTATACCACATCACTCTTTTCTTTTTGATTTGCTTCGAGGTACTCAATAAGTTCAGCTCTTGTACCATTGTCCCATATCAGATATGGATTCTCCGTGTTTGAATTTAACAACTTTAATACCTAATTTAAAAATATGGTAAAATATACCAAAATCAAAAAATAAACAAACCAATTTTGTTATAACTACTTTAATTATAAACAATTACCTCATGTGGCTCCTCTTTACCTAACTTTCTTGCAATAAATGGTGTTAGCATTGCACAAAGTGCTTTTTGCACAGCAGGATTTTCAGGAGTTGCTAATTCCCCTTCTAAATAAAATCTTTGTTAATTTAAACTTCATAGAAATTGTAAAACAAAACAAAAAAATGTATGCACGAGTTGCCTACAAAACTATCAAAATTAAAATAAAAAATCACCATAATATCCAGCCATTCTAGCCAACGCTTTGATGCTTAACCTTGCAAGATTATTACATACCTCCTAAACAATTAAAAAGAATTGCAGCAATTAACACTATTTTTGCAAAAACATCATATTGGCATATTTTAGGTATTTATATTGGCTTCAAAATGGCTTAGAATATTTTTTCTGAAAAAGCACATTATTGGTTAGGGACAGGGTTACATTAATAGTTAAAAAGTTATATTATTGATTAGGGTATTATATTATTGGTTAAGGAATTACATTATTGGTTAGGATATTGTATTATTGGTTATGGTTATGACCTATATTATATACTTTATTAAAAGTTTAATCTCATCAAATAACTTCTAAAATTAACAATAAATATTGTTAATCAGAAAAATGTTCAGATTATATAGTTAAATTGTAAGCAATTCAACGTTAAAAGAATTCAGTTGAACTTACATTAGTTTTAAGTTTTTAATTGTATGTAAAGGAACTATTTTGTCTAAAATAGTTTTGTAGGATGCTCAAAATTCTTTTATTTTTGTAAATAATTGAGTTGTATACTTTTCACATTTTGTTGTAATTCTCATTTATCAAGCACATTCTGAGCCTTATTTGTTTTTTTATATAAAGAAAATTTATTTGAGTTAATAAGTTATTCATAAATTATCTTTTTCATCAGATTAACAAAATCCTTGAAAACCCACTGTAAACTTGGTGTTTACCTTTAGGTACGTCTATAAACTATACCACTCTTAAGCGAGAGTTGGGGAGGGGGTCAAAAATGATCAAAAATTGTGTGAAATAATTTAAGGACGATCCCCCAGATTAACTGTTAATCTTTTCTTTTTTGAGTTTAAAAAGCTTTTGATTTTAAACTGTTTAAAACTTTTTGTTTAAATTTTTGTTAAACTTTGTGAAATGGTAAAAAAAACATTAAAGAAAAATGAATTTTATAAGAAAAATATTTTTTAATAGTGTAAAGATTTTTAATAGTACAAAAATCCAAGTCCAACATTCCCGTGGATCTGATCTTATTAGGGTCATCCATAAAGTACGTATGCCAAAAATTTCAAAATTTGATTCCTTCCCCCCCTGTTACCATGCGTACTTTTATTTTTTTCAATAATTGAAAAAAAAAAGGTGGAGAAGGTACCACCTTAGATACTTTATACGACCCCAAAGTCCTTTGTTTGCGGCATAGGATCCCAATTTAAAAATAGTCTCCAAATATATATACAAACATTAATTTTAATAAAGGTGTTCGATTGGCCGAGAGGTTAAGTTCAATTCCTGCTCATGTTGTATTGTACTTTTTATTGACAAATCAAATAAAAATAAACTATACTTAAGGCAGATGTTTTTTTGGTGGTCTATAACTCAACCTAATTTTAAAATTTCATAAATCGTAGATTATGACATTTTTGATTTTCAAACTACAATTTTTGATTTTATATTTACACCTAATTAAAACATGTAATACTAATTTTTTAACCTACTAAATTGTTGACCTACTGTATTTTTGACCTACTGAATTTTCAACCTGCTGAGTATTTAACCTACTGTTTTTCTATTTTATAACTACACCTTTCTGGTATGTATTTTTAAAATTTTGTTGTTGATTTGAATACAAGCCAAACTTGATCAGCCTTGATGTAGTGGTTGAAGCGCAGTCTTCAGAATAGAGAGATATAAGGTTAGAAGAATGCTTGGAATACTTATTGATTGTTAATTTGAAAAAAAGGTAATTGTAGTTTAAAAAACCCAACGTTAAAAACACAGACCAGATAGTAGGTTGAAAATTAATTTATCTTAAATCAATTGAAATGAAAATCTCTAAAACAGGTCAAAAAATTGGTTGAAAACGAAAACGTCATAAATCGGTTGAAAATAAAAAAAGACAATAATCGGTTGAAAACAATTTACACCTCAGTAGGTTATTTGAAAATTAGTTTTTACTTTTTAGTAGATGTTCTTTTTGTAGAACAATCTAGTAGGTCGAGATTTTTGTATGTCTAACTAACTAACAAGATTTTTGTAGGTCTAACACGGTTTTTTTCAGGCACCCCTCTTTAGTAAGTTTGTAAAAAAATTAGTCTTACGTGAGATCAGTAATATTGAAAACAAATCCTAAAACCAAGTACAACTTTTTTTTAAAAAAAAAAACAAAATAAATTGTAAAATATTTAATTTGAATATTTAACATTTTTACAGATTTTTGTTGTTCAACATGGAACAAAAAGTACTTTATAAGTTTAAAATAATATAAAATAAATTAAAAGAAGTAATTGTTAAATAATTTCCAATACCAAATAAGGTTCAAAATATTTCAACAAGAAGTTCAAGTACAATCTTAACTGCAACACAACTTTAAAAAAAAAAAAAACTAATTTGATTTTTTGAATTAGTCTATACTAGTGGTTCCCAACCAGTGGTATAGACTAATTAACCAGTATAACCACTTTACCTTCCATACTCTCTCTTTTTACAAGCCTATGGGTGTATTAAACCACAAGCTTCTAGGTGTATTACAAAACTTAATCAAGTAAAGGTTATATCAAGGATATATATATACATCTTCTACAGATCTTCCTTCTATTGCTGAATTGACAGGAGATAATGACATAGAGCTTGCTCCAAAAAATTTCCAGCAGCAGCAACAAGTTGCATTTTGTTACAGAAAAGTAGTTAACTTAGTTCAATGAATTAAATTCAAAAAAAAGCAAAATTTATATGATACAATCAGGTTAAAGTATTCAAATTAAAATTTTTTTTATTTAAAATTAAATTTAAACTAATTAAAACTAAAAAAATAAATATAAAATGCAAGCGCTAGTGTTAACACTAATAACTTCTAAAAAAAAGTTTGTATAACTACGCAGCCTGAATTTTATCTTTCCCTTCAATAGATTTAAAATGTTGCTAACTTTAAATTATAAAGTATTTTAATATTTAAATAAAAATTACATGACTGCCATTACTTTTATCATTTCGAAAACAGGTTAGCTTCTAAAAAATTGTTAAAAATTGATGGTAACAGAAACATTTAAAATGTTGAAGAAGGTTACTTTAGTTAGGCTATTACGGAACTTAACTTAAAATTAACTTAACCAAACAAGGGCATATTTCTTACAATATCTTATAGGTAAAAACAAAATTATAGAAATTAAAAAGTTTAAAAAAAATAAAATGAATAAAATACTTGTTGATTAGAATCACTGCATGCATCTACTCCACTTTCTGCCAAGGTGTAATCATATTTGAATAAAAACTGAAGAAGATGCCACAATGCTCCTGACTATAATAGTAACATTATTGATATATTTTTTTTTATCTGGTTTTTAGGTTTTTAATTATTACCTGAGAAATTCCAAGTTAACTAAAAATTTCAAAATTACTGAAACCATTAAAATAGCTAAAAACTGGAAAAAACAAATTGATTTCAAAATTACCTGAAGTAGATGAGTTTGTAGCCAGAAATCTATTGAGAAACTTGAGATGCATTCAGAAACAATACAACTTAGATTTGCCAGTTTCTTAATAGAAAATAGTAAAACATTGTTTAATATAATTTTCGAAATTAAAAACAATTTTAAACTTTAGTTGTTTTGTTTTAAGTAAAATAGTATTGGATAATTGCTAAATTAAAATTATAAAAAAAAAATTTTTTATATGATTACTATATAAATAAATAGTATATTAAATAAAAATAATATTACAATAAATATTGTATAGAAAATAAATACCAACCTTAAAGAACAAAATCTTGCACATATCTTTAACTATACTAGGAAGCTCAGTAATTTTTTCCTGACATCCTTCAAATTGCGCAGCAACAGTGTAACAACGAGTTACATGTGAGCAAATTTGTACTGGAAGATCATTTGGTGTTGATGATTGATTTAAAATACCAACACAACGAGAATATGTTTCTTGAAGTACCTTTTAATAGTAGCAGCAAAAAATATATAAATATATTTGACACTTTATTACAAATCAAACTAATTTGAAATCATAACTATTTCAATTCAGTTAGGATTAATTAATATATATATATATGAGGCCTTGCAATAAAGCGTCAGGCGATGTGAATTTTACGTCGTCCAAGAGCGATTTTGCGTGTAGCTAGGGCTATTTGTGTCAAGCAAAAAATTTTTTGTTTGAGTATATTTAAAGATATTTTTGAGCGGAGTTTTAATGAAGTAATTTACGATTATTTTAACATTTAATAAAATTTACGATTATTTTAACATTTAAAAAAATTAAATATGCTCATTATTTACAAGTAGAAAAAATTCAGATTAAAAAAAAAGTTTAAATCTTTTAAGCTAACATTTTAATAAAATTATTCAGCAATAGCAAAGTTGTCGATAAAATTGAACAAAAATACTTTATTTTAGTTTTAGATTTTAAACTTAATTATTTTACGGGGGTTTGTTAGGTTTTGAAATTATTCCACAGATTTAAAAATATTTATTAACTGTTAGACTTATTTAAAGTATTTAAGAGTAATTTCGAGGAAACATTTTAAAAATTGGTGAGCGCAAATATAAAAAAAAAAAAAAGGATTAATATTAAAACGTATTCTACTTGATTCAATAAAAAAGTACAGTTATTAAAACTTTTGTAAAAAGTAACTCAAAAAAATTACTTAAATAATAACGATCGCTTTTATGTTAAAAGTTACCGAAACTCAACGAAGCGTGCTCAAGAACAGCTGTTGAAAAATAGAACGTCAATAGTTTTTCGAATAATTTTTAAGAATAATTTTTTCGCTGAAATATTTCTTTTATACCTATAAGATTTTTATTCTAACATTTTATTTTATTTTACTAGAAATAAAATTCCTTGTTAACATTAAAAATCTATTCAAAACGTTCGTTTAAGTTTTTTATTAATACAAGTGATTGTGCTTATCAACCGCTTTATGAAAATAAATAAAAATAAATAAATAAATAAATATTATATAAAATCGCTTGTAAAAATATTAGCTATTGCACAGTTTTTAATCGTACAATATTAAAATTTCCAGTTTATCACTCGCTAACTTTTTAAAAAGAAAAAATAATTATTTGAAAAACTTTAAACTACATATTTAAGAAAAAAAAAATTAAGAAAAAAAACGTTTTCTATACGTTTAGTAAAGACAAAACGTGTCAAACGTCGAGAAAATAAGCAAATGTTTTTACATTTTAAAAAACGAAACATTCCAAAACATTTTAAAATAATAACATTTCTACATTAATGATTTAAAGTAGTTTTGCGGTAATTAAGTAAATTGGTGCAGTTAATGTCGAAAAATATGAAAAGTAAATAAAAAGAATTTAATGACGTCAAAAATCACGTCGTGCTTATGCGCCGCGCAGTTTTTATTCATCACAAGGCCTGATATATATATATATATATATATATATATATATATATATATATATATATATATATATATATATATATATATATATATATATATATATATATATATATATATATCGCTTCTATGTTTTATGGTAACCCCTTTGTTTCAATTTTTTTTGCCGACCTCTAACATTTTGAAGTTGGCAATTTATTGCCGACCTCATTTTTCCTGATTCTGAGGGTTGATATATATATATATATATATATATATATATATATATAAATATATATATATATATATATATATATCGCTTCTATGTTTTATGGTAACCCCTTTGTTTCAATTTTTTTTGCCGACCTCTAACATTTTGAAGTTGGCAATTTATTGCCGACCTCATTTTTCCTGACTCTGAGGGTTGATATATATATATATATATATATATATATATATATATATATATATATATATATATATATATATATATATATATATATATATATATATATATATATATATACATTAATTCAATTTTTATTAAAATTTGAAATTTAATTATAACTTAACAAAACAATAAATATTATATTACAATTTAACTTGATATCCCAGGCTCATCTGACTACAAATCATAAAACATATATTACTATTGTGATTATTTTTTCATATTTTTAAATAAAAAATTTTTAAAACTTAAATATCATCAAAATACACTTTAATGAGCTTTTTATTGGAAAAATGTTTTCTTTTGAAAAATATAATAAACATGCCAATGTAATCAAAATACCTCTATTCCATCTTCCCTACGCAATTCCTCTGCATTTAATGCTGAACAATTAACTGTGTGATAAGCAAGTTCGCAAGCTGCTGGAAGAACTGCTGTGTCCTTAGCAAACAACTGTGAGTCAACTGACTCCATTTGAATTGTTTTTATAAGCATTGGATAACCAGCATATTTATAAGGTTGTAAAACTATAGAAAGAAAATTTATTCTAAATCTTAAATTTATGTTATCTACTGATAAATGAAAGAAATTGAAAAATTAAACAAAAGGAGAAATTATATAAGTATAAGTATCTTTAAAAATGGACAGAATTATAAAATTTTGTACATATTATTTTATATGTATATTTAATAATATTTAAAAAGTGCTTTGAAATCAGTAAATAATATAAAAGCTTTTATAAAAGCTTATATAATATAATATAAGCTCTCTTTGTTGTTACCAAGAAACATTAATCTCGTTTTAATAATTTTGTTGATATAATCTTTACTTGATGTTAAAAAAACTAATTTATCATTTGTTACAAAGTCTCAACTACTTACAACTTGGTTGTAGCATTGGTCACAAGAAAAACTTATTTACCATTAGTTACAAAAAAAAAAACTCATTTATCATTGGTTACAAAATTACAACAGTTAAAAAATAAAGTCAAAGAAATTTTATACTTAGGCAAAAAAAATATATATATATTATAATTACATAACTAATTGTAGATTTTAAACTAAAAATATTTCTAATTGATAAAAAACATACCATCTTTATATCTTTTAAATAATATACTTTGAGATTGAAGAATTAAGGTAATATTTAATGGATCTGGACCACTAGTATTTTTTTTTGCGGCTTTACTACATAAATACTCATAAGCTTTAGCTACTTCTTCAAAGATTTCCTGAAGATAAACGTAGAAATAAAAATGTGTTTCATGATACGGACATAAAAAAATATACAAAACATAAACAAACTTACTCTTCCTTCTGGATTTTTATCAGGATGATACTTTTGTGCCATCTTAAAATACGCTTTTCGAATCGCTGCATCATCGTGCCTAAAATATAACCACTCATAAAGAAATGAAAATATAAATTTGAAGAGAACTTAACACTTTTTCTTACTGTTTGTCTGATGACAGTCCCAAAATCTCATAAGCTTGTTCATAAATTTTAAGAGAACTTAACACTTTTTCTTACTGTTTGTCTGATGACAGTCCCAAAATCTCATAAGCTTGAGCTGAGGAATATGTTGAGGGCTTTTTCTCCACTTCAGTTTTCCAAGCATCTAATATATCCTTCAATAATTTGACCTTTAAATAAATATAAACTTTGCAAAAAATATCCAATGTATAAATAAAAACAATAAAGCAAAAGATAAAGAAAGTTTACATACTGGCTCTTGAATAGGCCAATCAGGATATTTGACTGTATCACATAAATGTCGAAGATAGTATATGTTACAAAAAAGCTCATTTTCAAGTTGTGGATATTGAATAGTAGGAATTGGACAGTACTAAAATAAATAAAACTTTATATAAAGCTTTGATTTAAACCAAACTTATTTTTGTTATATAATATTTTAAAATATTCTATTCTATCAGTATCATACAAATCTATATTACATGATATATATATATATATATATATATATATATATATATATATATATATATATATATATATATATATATATATATATATATATATATATATATATATATATATCATTAAAGAAAATAACTACATTTAATCATATTTTTTTAAAAAACACAAAAATGCCTTAAAAAAACTTTATTGATTAGAAAGCTATTTTGTTAATTAAAAATGTTTTTTAAATCTGTTTTTTTTTTAATTTTACTTTATTTCTTTTATTTTTGTTTTATCAACTGACTTATTTAGAGAAGGTACAGTGAGTGTACATTAGGGTTATGACTGAAAATATTTTTGAAAAAATTTGTATCTCCTGTGGTTACAAATGATGAACTTTTGTGACCTGATTATTTATAAATTATGTTAATTATTTTTAGAAAACCTTTATGACCTGATTATGTATAAATTATTATTCCAAAAATTTTAACTATTCAAATATACAATTACATAATTAAATACATAAACCTCACCTGATATAAAGCTCTAACATTACTTTGTAACCTTGGTGAAAAGTCAGCAATATGAGATGCAATTTTCTCAATAGCCATTCTTCGCATTTCACTGTTCCATATTGCTTCCGGTGTTTCAAACTCACCCAAAAATGTTTCAGCAAATTTTTCAGCTCCTAAAATATAACTTAGGTTATTAAAATAGTGCTAAATAATTATTTTATTATTTAAAAAAACATTAATAAAACTATATGACAATTTTTAAAAGAGTTTATATAAAACTATATAAGCTCTTTTAAAATAAATTTGTACTTAAAACTCAATAAAAGTAATGAGCAAATACCATAGTTTTCAAGAAACCAGATCATAGCTTCTGGGAGAATAGGACCAAGAATACTCCGCTGAAGCATCTCTTTTGGTAAGTTCTAAATAATTATTAAAACTTTTAATAAATTAAGATAAAAAAAAAAAAAACTTTTATTAAAAGAAAAATTAAACCTCTTCTGATTTAAAAGCTTGCTTTAAGTGGGCTTCAGCAAGAAATCTGAAACATTAAAATTACAATTAGAAAAGTTCACTTCTAGATCAAAGGTAATTTCTTAGATCAATCCACATACTTGCCGATTGGTATTACATTCGAACCTGTGTACATCATAATAAAGAAAAAAATTCCAGTCAAATAGAGGCGTGGCATCACAGGATTATCCTAGATTAACAAGAAAAAATTTAGTAATTTAATCACCTGGCAATTTTGGTTTTAAAAAATCAATGATTCTTACCACCATAATATCAGTTATAAGTACTGCAACTTTTTCAACAATAACAGGATCAAATGTCAGTAAAAGCTAAAATTATATTTTCTATTATTATTTTTTTTATTTGAGTAAGCAGCAAGAAATTAAATTAAAAATAACATATAATATACAAATTATAGAAGCAAATAAATGAGTGATCAATGATAAAAAATGAATAAGCAGAGCCTACCTGAACAATATGTGGAAGACAAGAAGCTTCTGATAACATTCTTTTTGCACGAGGTAACGGACGAACAACAGCACCATCAATATCTCTAAAATTAATCAATTGTCAATCTTCTCATACTAAAAATCTTATCAACAAGATTTAAAAAGAAAAAAAAATCTGAGACTTGTTTGGAAAAAGTTTGCAAATTGTAATCAGCATGTTTAAACAATTGACTGCAAGATCGGATTCATTCATTATAGCTGTCCCTGTAGCAGAAATACACCACTTTAATTGCGGAATAAGATTCAATGGACGCCATCCATCCATTCCTTGTGCCCAACACCTTGTTGTTGGTTTTAATACACCTTCCGCCCATAGATCTTTCATCTAAGAATTTGAATATATCGAACATACTATGATTATGAAATGATAAAATAATATGTTTTGTTTGAAATATAAAATTGAGACACTATCCTAACTGAATTACCTCAGGAAAACTAAATGGACCACGTCTTTCCTTCTCAGTGTTCCCAAAATACCATTCTTTTTCAGCATAAGATTTTAACATATCTACAGAAGCTTCAATCATAGTGGTCTAAAGAACAAATAAATTATACAAATGTAAAGGTAAAAATTATAGAATATATTAACTATAAATTAATATAAATTAATTGTAATGGCACCATAGCTTGTGAAACATGTAAATGAGTTATTTACTTGTAATGGCAATGTAGCTTGTGAAACGTAAATAATTTACTTACTTGTAATGACACTGTAACTCGTGAAACATGTAAATAATTTACTTACTTGTAATGGCACAGTAGCTTGTGAAACATGTAAATAATTTACTTACTTGTAATGACAGTGTAGCTCGTGAAACATGTAAATAATTTACTCACTTGTAATGGCACAGTAGCTCGTGAAACATGTAAATGAGCTAATACAACAAGTTCAACTAAAATACGAATTCCACCAGCATCCAAAAACTGTTTTACATTTGATTTATTTTTTAAAAGTTCTTTAATAAAGAGTAAGAGACGATCACGCTCAAGTTTGTCCGTTGATCGCTCTAACATTCCAACAATGTACACAGTATCATGAAAAGATCCAATAGCTTCAAAACATTTACCATACACCTTTGCCATAGCCTATAAAAATATTATGTGTATATATACAACTATAAATGCATGTTTAGAAAAGCACTATGATATTACACTGAAATAGTCTGCTACCAGGGGCTTTAGTACATACATCAACTATCTTATAGCCTGCGATTTCTAATTGCAAAAGATTGGCACAAAATGCGCCAAAATTCAAAAAAAAAAAAAATAACATGTCAATTGTCTAATAATTTGTTTAAATTAGACAAAATGTTATATTAATTTATAAAATTAAAATAGCCTGATATAGAAAATATTAAATAAAAACATTTTGTTTCAAAATGAACGTGCAAAAAGCAAAATATTAATCAGAACGAGTTGAATCTGGATAGAAATAGTTCTTTGATTTGACTTTGATGACCCTTCACATTCAGTTTAAACATAAATTCTTATCCAACTGGACTTTGTAGAAGTTGAAAGAAAAAGGTGTTTTGACTATTATTGTGACTGTAAATTAACTTAAATTCATATAACAGTAAGGTAAGGCTATCAAAATAATACTCTAGAAACCAACTGGTTAAATGGTTGTCATTAAATATATAACATTTATATAATTATATAATGTATATATAATTTATTATTTAAAGGTGTTTTGACTATTGTTGTGACTGTAAATTAACTTAAATTCATATAACAGTAAGGTAAGGCTATCAAAATAATACTCTAGAAACCAACTGGTTAAATGGTTGTCATTAAATATATAACATTTATATAATTATATAATGTATATATAATTTATTATTTAAAGGTGTTTTGACTATTGTTGTGACTGTAAATTAACTTAAATTCATTTGCTAAGTAAATGTGTTTTGTTAATTGTTGTTACTGAATATAATTTATTAAGTAAATGTGTTTTGTTTATTGTTATCACTATATATAATTTATCAAATAAGTGTCTTTTTTCAATTGTTATCACTGTATATAATTTATTGTTAAAAAAAAACTGTAGCAAAATACCTGTAAACACATTGCTTTCATATCAAGTTTAGTAGTAATAAGAAACCGATGATAAAGATCATTAAAAAATTCAAGAGGCTCCAAAATTGGAGAAGTTTCTTTTGACTCGTCTTCTTCAAGTAAAACACGTAGATAATAATCTCCTATTTTGATTTCTTCAGACAAACATGTATATTGCACTTCAAATTCAGAATGGTTCCATGATATCAATCTTTGGTTGATTAAATCCTGAAGTATAATAAAATATATCATTATCAAAACATTAAATTCTAAAATACATTGTTATTATCAAAACACTAAATCCTAAACAATGATAAATTATGTCATTCTCAAAACTTTTAAATTCTTAAGGTAATAATAACTTAATATCTCTAAATCTTCCAGAAAAAAAAAAAAATAACAAACTATATAAGTTTATTAAACTACTCCATTTATTGGTACAGCTCATAGTTTTAACATTGAGGTTTGGTAATGAAATGTAATTTAACTGCAAGAGACAAAAGGACTAAGTAGAACTTTAATAAAAAACTTTAAAGCAAAATAAGAAACTGAATAAAAAAACTTTCCAATAACAACATAAAACGTGCAAATCAGCAATGGAAAGCCTTATTTTGAAAAACATTAAAAACATGTCGCATGTCATATAAAATCTACTAATCAAGAAAGAAAAGTGCATGAACTAGGATCAGATGAATCTTGTTTCAGTAGATGAATCAGTTTCAAAGTCATGGCGACTAGTAACCTCAAGAGGGAATCAGTCTCAACAACTTAAAATTTTGTGAAATTATACAGCAACATCAAACTTTGCAAATTATTATAAATATTTATAAATACTTAGATAGAATTTTCAGAAAATATTCACAGGAAATCTTAAAAAAGTATTCACAGAGAATCTTAAAAAAATATTCACAGGAAATCTTAAAAAAATATTCAGAGTTATTGCAAATTATTGTAAATAGAATTATCAGAAAATATTCAGAGGGAATCTCTAAACTTTAAAACTTTTAAACCAATAAAAAAAAAATTAATCTTATTTTAAAAATACTGAAAATAAAAATAAAAAAATTTTAAGGTGAAGTATAATTTAATGATTTTTAAAATAATTATATGTATCCAAACCTTGTCCATTGAAAAAATTCTCATCTCAGCTTCAAGTGTATCTCTGAGTTCATCTCTTGTCTAGAAAAACAGATTAAAATTATTTTATAATATATATTAAATGGTTATAAACAAAATATAAACAAAATTACAATATTATTCTAAATAAGTAATAAAAATAACAAAATTACTTTAGAATTCCAAATAAGTAATGGTGTACAATGATCAATATTAAATCTGAAAAATAAAATATTTATTTTTATTTCAAATGCAAAAAAATAATAATAATAATAATTTCATGTGTTATATCTGAAAAATATTTTTTTAAAAGAAGAAAAACCAAGAATAATGAGAAAAAAAGTCTTAAATCTAAAATGTCATCAAATAATTGTCTATATACACTATAGTGAATATATCTGATTTATAGCAAAAAACAGTTTTTGTTTTGAATAGTGTAAATATTTATTACTAGAAAATGTTAATTCAAAAAGTCACACATATTACAGGCTTGGCCAGGAAAGTGTGTGATTTAAAGCCTTTTTATGACCACTCAAAAAAATGTTTTGTTTTACAATTTGACCACAGTTTTTAACTGTTTAACTGTGCTGAAAAAAATGGTTTTTAATTAAGTTAAAAATAAATAACTTTGACACGTTTATGTTTACTAACATTTTTATTATAATAGCAAAACGCTTTTAAATAAAGATTTTAATCAAAGTATTAATGAAAATTTTATAAATTTGTATTTATATTATTTAATTATATAAGATATTTTTATAATAAATATAAATTTAAATTTTATAAGCAACTTTCAACGATAATCTCTTTAATAAACTTATATAAAGTTTATTAAAGAGATCATCGCCATCATTAAAATCATTAAAATTAGTTCACTTGAAAAGAAGAAAGATTTTGTTGAGAAGAAAGAAAAGGACAAACTTTTTTGAAAGCTGTTTGAATTTTTATTTATTTTAGTTTTTTTTAGTTTTAGTTTTAGTTGAGCTATTTTAATTTTATTTTTCTTAATTTTTTTTTCACAAAAAAATTCAATTGCTTCTTTTAAAAAAAGTTTTTTTTTTTTTCAATTTCTTCATAGTTAAATTAAGATAATGTTTCATAGATAAGTTAAAATGTATACAAATTTTCAAAACACATGAACATCCATGGTCAAGTTTTTAAAATCAAATAGTTTTTGTGTGGTCATAATATGCAGTTAAATCGCACGCCTTCCTGGCCAAGCCTGATGTTATAACACTTTGTCTGGGTTCCTCAAACTTTTAAACTTTTAAATTATTTTAGAAACTCATTTTTTCTTCAAAAATCATAATATCAATCACAACATCAATCACAAAGTCAATCAAAATACAATCACAACATTTTAATTCTTTCAAACTGAGTTTTTTTCTTTCTCGAATAAAGCAAGATAAATTTATTAAGCAAATTTAATTTTCAAAATACCAAAACAAGCTATTTCTCATTATGAAAATTAGACCAAAGTGTGTTGGGTCTGCTTCTAAAAAGGTTCAAGCATCTTTTAATCTAATACTAATTCTACACTCTAAAGAAATAGGAAATAATTCATTGAAAATTATGAACCAGACCATTACTAAACTTTAGGCATCTGTGACAGATGTAAAAATCTTCTTTAAAAATTGATCAGATCTCAATAGATCTTTTAACTTTTCAAAAGTTGTAACTACAATACCAACAAGATCAAACCCACTATGTCAGTGTATTATTTGTAAAATAGTACGTTATGATCTAATTAGCGAAGGTGATGGATCCTGTAAGGCTTCTTCTTTCTGGGGGTCTCCAGGGAGACCTCCAGAAAGCACTATATTTTTTACTATTTCAGGGCACCATCAAATTATGCTAGTGTTGTTGGCAACTAATAGGCTAAGAAATCTCTGATCCAAATCATTGTACTCTTCAAAATAAAAGAGAAAATCAAGTACAGCTCTAATTCAGGTTCAGGGCAGTAGAGATGCATCTTACATTATAAAACAAAAGATGAAACTGCAGGTGATACATCCGCTGTCAATTAGCAACTAGAGGGAAAGATTTAACAGCTGCAATTAATATCAAATCTCAAAATCACTCAAAAGCTCAGTTTCCTTTTCAATATCAACTGTCTTCTGATGAAAATAATAGGCTTCAATCATAGACTCTAAAGTATAATATATAAAGTATAAACAATAGGCTTTAATAATAGACAATCATAGTTTCAAAAGGAAATTTCTCTAAAGCAGCAACTTTTTTCAGAACTTGGAAGGGCAGAAAGTCAATAAAATCTTGTCTAAGAAACCAAATGTTGCAAACCAAACAAGGAAAGCTCAGTGTGCAATAATGTATTACCACTGAGCAATACAGTATTGCAACATTTTTGAATTAATTGACCATATCCTTGAAAGATGTTAACTTTTTTTAAATGAGTTCAAAATCAAAATAGATATTGATAAGGTGGAGGTTTTCTAAATTTCTGCATAAACATAATTAATTGCAAAAATAACCAATAAAAAATGAATCATATGAAACATAAAATTTTTTTTAGATATAATTGCTCTTGAAAAATTTGCTTTCACAGCAGTTGTAGACATAAAATTGGCTATGAAATTTAATTAGACTCTTTTGCTTTTTATCATATCTTGGATTAGACTTTGTTGCATTAACATATCCATGACCCTGATGTGAAAATTCAAAGAATGACTTTGGAAAGCTTAGACTGGACAGTTACGAACACTTAGGATAATTATATCAAATGCGTATATGAATAGGCTTCCAATACATGGAGGCCAATTTCATGGAGGGAAATTCAACAGCAATAAATGTCGAAAGCTTGTGACTAAAATTACTAAGAAGTACTAAGATTGAATTACAATGAACAAAAATAATTGCTGCTTTCAGGGTTTTTAATGAAGATGAAAATCATGCTTTGGTCCTGATCCCACATACAAATTGCAAACAAACATCTTGGAATTTCAATTTCTACAAAAGTGTATTCTCTAGCACATTGCCCAATTTCTTGAAAATCAGGCCAAAAAGCACGGCATTAACCAGCAAAATAACCTTCAAATGCTCAGAAGAATTTTTCAAAAAGACATGGCATTTAAAGTGAACAAGCATCAGAACCCATTTATTCTGATTTCATTAGACAAGAATCTGGTGCTTACAAAAGAAATATTATTCATCTGGAATACATCACAAAATTCAGGCTGTGTAATTACATATTGGTCAAGACATAAAGAATAAAAAGAATAAATTTTTATTGGAGAACATTTTTTTAAGAATACATTTGTTTGTGAGATTTAATGACATTTTTTTGTTTTGTTTTTGTTTTGTTTTAAACTTCTAGAAAAATTTACTAATTTGTGAAGAATGAGATAATTTAAACAGGATTTATGCTTATTTTATGAAAAATTTAGATTTTAATTATGGTTTTTTCAAGATTTTGTTTTGGACGTCCTAGAATAATTTTGAAAATTTGTGAAAAACATATATGCCTTAACTCTGGTGCAAAAATTTTCTCTTGAACTTTTTTTAAACCCTAAAGAAATTTAAAAGCCTAAGTGCACATGATTTTATGTGCGGAATGATATCATGAACAGTTATATTAGGCCTTTTTTATTATTTTAGCAATAGTTAATTCAGAATTGCTGTCTTCAATTAAAAGTTGTAATTGTGCATGTTTAGCAGTTTTATTGTAGCTGCTCTATAATTGTTGTTACAATACTATGTTAAAGCCATGCCCTAAGGTAATAATGATTGAATTAGATATTTTAATGAATAAAGAGCATAGAAGTTGATTTCCGATTGGTCGCTAACTTACCAGTCACACATGCAATGTGTAATTATTTAGTGTGTTGCCAACAGCAACATTTTGAATTTTATATTTTTTGCAAGTAATAACTATAAAAATAAAATTTGAAAATAACTTGATTTTTAAAATGATTTAAATTAATTTTTTCAATTTCATTGATATAAAAAAAAAATTACTTATAGTAAAAGAGGTCCCAGTTAGCTTCACTTCTAATACGTTGTCTTCGCTTTCTCAAAACAACTGGTTTGTTTTCAATTTTTTGCTAAAATTTTGATAAAATTATAAAGTTAAAAAAATAATTTTTTTTAAGATAAAAAATACCAACATGAATTTAAAAAGGCAAAACATATTGTCATAAATTTAAAGTAAAAAAATTATAATTATATATTGGCATAAGTA